ATTATTTCGATGAAGAAAAACAAATCGATACGTATAAAAAATTGAACCGTATTAACTTTAAAGTCTTGCTGTATGAGAAGTGATGTGTTATGCAAAATTGATTCATGCGTTTACGAGAGATGTTAATTTGATTAAATGATGGAAAAGATAATAAATATTTTCCTTTTTTTTCTTGTCTACATCTTATTATCATCATCGTCATCGTCATCGTCATCGTCATCGTCATCGTCATCGTCATCGTCATCGTCATCGTCATCGTCATCGTCATCGTCATCGTCATCATCATCATCATCATCATCATCATCATCACCATCATCATCATCATCATCATCATCATTATTATTATATGCCATAGTTTTTTGTTAATCAGACAAGTTATTAGATAAAGCAAATCACTAACCTTTTTCATAATGTTATCAGAATTATATAAACCATAGAAATGTTCCAAAACATAATGAAGCGTTAATTGCCCAGGAGACTTTTCAATAACGCTTAAAGGATAAACGAATTCAGTGAGAGAAAATGGTTCATTAGGTTGATAAGATATCATCGGAGCAGAAATACCAGGTACTTGACTAGGAACGTCCAAAGCTATGTGTATCGCATTAGGAACTCGTACTATTCGCTTCGATGATTTCAACAATACGAGTTTATCATCAGCGTCACGTGCCTCTTTCGCAGGAATACGACCCAACTGTGCTCTACTGTTATTACCCCAAGCTAGTACCGTACCTCCTAAAAAAAATAAACTATATAACATGTATACACCTTTTTATTCTTAATTTAAAATCAAGTTTGATGTGTGCATAAGCAAGTGAGTGTATGAGTTAACAAGGCACTTTTACATATAGTGTCTCACAAAGAGGCTCAAATAAGTTGGAAAATTTTATTTTTAATTAGATTTAATTAATTTTAAATCATTACTAGAATATCATATCAAATAGCACATAAATAACCTAATGTTTGATTAAATTAAGAAGATTCAAGATAATATCTCTCTACTCTCTCTCTCTCTCTCTCTCTCTCTATCAAGTCACATTTATTCATAAATCAAGTATTTTGTCTTTAAGATAAAAAATTTAAATATTAAGGCACATGATTAAAAATAAAGATATAACATCTTTGTTTTTGTAACCTGGTTGTATCGCGATCGTATAATCATATCCACAAGCAATCCCAACAACATTAATTACGGGATTGATTCTTTCTTTATTCACATAAGCGTCTCCTGTATGTATCGACTTTGATGAGTCACTGATATTCTCATTCTCAGACACATTTCCGTTATTTGTCAACAAATTATCCGATTTGATGCTAATGTCCAAAAAATCCCGATTTTGCATTCTTTTTATATCATTGTGTCTAGGAGGTATTTGTGCATAAATACAGGCTGAATTATAATATAACGGTGTCGGAATTGGCACTTCTCGCCGCGTGCCATTACCTATCTGACCGTCTAAATTGCGGCCCCATGTATATAAAGAACCATCTTTTGTTATCAATGCATTATGATGACAGCCAGCTGATATCTACATACACAAATAATTACAAATCGTATCATATACTAATATTTGAATAAAGCATGCAGGATTTTTTTCTATCAATGTCACCAGATGTATTCTCCGTACATTTAAAGATACACCAAATTTGTAAAATATCATTAGAATAATAGATCTTTTATACATTACGAACCTGATTAATTTGCCCTTTTACTAAACTTGTATCGACAACGGATGGTTTTAAATGTGCCTGATTTTCCTCGAGCAAATCAAAGTTGAGGTTCTTCAAATCTGTATTTTCAGTTTCAAACTTCTTTTGCATGTCTACATCGGAAGTAATCGTTTCTATTTGATTAGATTTGATTACATTATCCATCAAACAGTCTTCTTTTATTTTTTCGCTTAAATTTGTAACGTCACTTGATACTTTCTCCAAATCTTCTAAAACCTTATTCTTTTTCTCATTAGCATCTTGTTGCTCTAATATACGAGTCTTCTTTTGCGCTTGCGCTTGCAATCTAAGAACCTGTGGACTTGCACCCCAGATGTATAATTTGTTCGTGTTACTAACGGCTAACTGTAAACGTGGAAAAGAATACGTGTGTGTGAAATCATTATTGTTCACGACATTACAAATATTATTTGATATTTCGTTACGAAATGTAACGAGTAATTTTGATGTAATAATCGTATTATGTTAAAATAAGAAAAAAAAGAAAACAACAAAATAGGTCACACGTGTCATTTACCGACTTACATTATGAAAGTATCCAGTACTTATAAGTGTTATTTCATCCGGTAATGATACTTTCATCGGGATAGAACTTTTGATGTTACTACCTGATCCCAACTGACCAAGAATATTACACCCGAAGGCGTACACAATACCATCCATTGATAATGCTAAAGTGTGAGCGTATCCAGCACTGATATAACACACGACTACACCAAGCAGATCCTTGACCAAGGATGGTAGAGCTTTCTCGTCGGTATTACCATGACCCAGTTGGCCATGAATACCCCAACCCCACGTAAATATTCTGCCGTCTGCAGTTAACGCTACAGAATGATATTGTCCAGCTACTGCATCGACAATAATTTCTTGCGCTAATGAAGTAACTAATACCGGACTCGAACATTGTAACACTTTGCCAAGTCCTAACTGGCCAAACTGACTAGCTCCCCAAGTGTAGATTCCATTATTGGTCACCGCCAAGGTGTGGCAATGTCCACATGATACACTGAAAACTTCAATCTTCATACTTTTGAAGAAACATATGGCGTGTGGTGTCCCATATCGCAAAACACTAGAGCCAGTTCCTATCAATTATGACATGTACGAAAAAATAATTATTGAAATAATTATTATAAAGGGATTCGATGAACGATCAAACGAGGGGAATTAAATCAACAAGAAATGAGTTACGCTTTAAACGAGAAATGTACGTACCTAAGCAACCTTGTACTGAACTTCCCCAAGTATAGATATTACCGTTTCTAATAAGTGCAACGTGAGAAAATCCAGCACTTAGCGATCTTCTCTTAAAATCAACATGTAGACCCATTTTTGAATATTCCTGCTTGGATTAAGATATAAATTATGAGACAATCCAATAATTTCGCAGAAATTTGAGATTTGGCAAATAGAAAATGAGATTGAATGAGATTGGGGTCAGGATGTTGTATCTTTTCCACATTCAAATTGTACTATTACAATCCTTTCTCGGGCAAGTATTCAAATATCCAAATCGGATATTTCGTGTCACGCTAGTTTGATATAAAATGGATTTTGTTATCCTTATTAGAAATTGTGTGACAAATATCGTCTAGAGAGGCGTAAAAAAATATTTCTCGAGATATGAAATAGGAGATTAACAAAATCTCTAAAAAATTTCCACAGTCTGAGAAAAACAGGTAAGCTTTGAATTCTGTTGAATTTTTTATTAATAAAGGTGTCTTAAAGTATAAACAATCTCGTTTTCTTTTTACCAAATACAGAAATGGATTAAAATTACCTTGCTTATCTCTGGTAACTGGACATCATATAAAAGAGTGAATTTGAAATTAGGATTTAATAATCGTTTCTTATGGATGAGTGTTAATAAAATCAATATAAATGTTTCTATTATCTCTTCCATGAGTGTATCAGGCTGTTCCTATAAAATGTTTCTGATATTAAATATTGATACCCTCGAAAGACAGATTTCTTGATTAATTCGAAATCAATTTTTCAAATTAAAAATTGCAGAAAACATTTTAATAGTTAAGAAATTTCTTGTAAATTAAGATTGCACAAGGAAAAAAACAGATGATAAAAAAAATATCTTAAAATTGCAAGCTTTAAAAGAACATAATAAAATTTCAGGTTTCATTACAGAAATTGTACAATGTCAGAAATTTCATTGTTTTAATTAAAAAAATTGATTAATCTAAAAATTTGTGGATTAATCTAAATGTGTGTTATTTAAAAAGAATAATTGATTATACGTTAAAGTGAATGATATTCCAAAATTAGCGCTTTAACTTTCTTTTAAATTAAGTTTAGTTTTTTTAAATCTTTGTCTAGTATTATTTATCTTTATAAATTTTTTAAAATCTAATCATATTAATCAAATATCTATAAACAAATTATAAAATTTTATTTGAAAGTTTTTTATTCTTAAATAGCCTAGATAATTTATAGATAAACAACAAAACAAACAACAAACTTTCGTAATCATAAATTATTCGTGCGCGAATTTTGGAAAAATCCTATACATCAGAAATTCGATACTCACGATATTATCTATAGAATCTGTAGAATCATATTGATCAGATCGCAAATTGGGCGATGCTGTTCTACGATGTGCTCTACATTGTACTAGTTTAGGTCGTAATACTGGATTTGTCGGATCGTATAATGTTACTAATCTCTGTGAAATATTTTAAATTGTTGATCATAATCATAATATATAAAGAAATCTTAAAATTCAGTTTCAATTCCATAAAACCGAGTATTGAACATAAATTTAACAATACTTGCG